ATGGATCAAATGTGGGCACACACGGCCGACAAGGGTGTCATGGGAAGCGATTTCGAAGAGGAAAAATAACGGAGTTGGAGGTATGTAAGGCAGACGTCGGTGTTTTTTTCATTTGCTCTATTTCATTATGGGCAGTTGCAACTGTATGGTGGGAAAGAGATGCGGATTTTCGCAGAACTCCACGTATGTAACTTCCCCCAGCGCCCTCTTCTCCCCCGTTCTAGAAGAGCCTCGTCCCTCATATACGCGTGCTCTCTTTGATTTCGTGTCCCGTATCTACCCCCATCCTACTTCGCCCATCCCGCCTTCCAAGATGACCCTCCTTCTCAACTACCCAACATAGATGAGGGTCTCTCGGGATGTCGTAAACGATTGTCGACGACATGCCGACGCGGCGGGTACCTCTCAAGCTCACTCCTTGCAAACCTATACACGCTCAATTGACGCCCTCCCCCTCGTGAACGTGTATCTCCGCCGCCTCGCCCTCACTCCCCGGCACCTCAGGCACAACCTCCTCATACCTCCTCCTCGCCTGCATATCTCCAAGCTCCCCATGTAAACTGAGCAGATCGACCTGGTCCTCATCGAGATCCGGCACAGGGTCCTGGTCAACATAATCCTCATCGACGTCCGCCGCATCAAAGTCCGCTAGGCGGCCCGCCATCGACCCCTCCGACGCAGAGCTATCGTGCTGCACATCGTCGCTACGAGCTCCCACTGACCCAAGCTCGACGGATGTCGCGCTCGCGGGGTAATTGTTGTGCGAGTAAGGCTGGGCGAGGGCGGAGAAATTCCAGTTTGGCTCCATGCCGCCTACGCCCGCGCCGCGGAGGTCCCCATCATAAGCTGATCCAAGGTCGATAGCCTCGTCGCCCGACGCATCGCGCATCTCGATTCCGTCGTTCATGATAGCATCCCTCTCGAGTAGACGCGCGCCGTCGTCCACGAGCGCGTCCCTATAATCAGGAGGGCTATCAATGTCTGACGGCGGCACGATGCTAGTATTAACCACGCCTCTCGTCGCTACTGTTGTGCCCGCTGTGGTTCCAGTGACCGAACCATGCCCTGCCTGGCGAGTTGCTTCTACTCCGGTCAAAGCGCTCGGCGACCCACGAAGGGAGGAGTCCGCGCGCGAGGCGCTGGCCTTCCCCCGAGCCGCTGGACTCATCTTCGGAGGTGGCAGGAGGGTTGTCAAAGCGCGCGAGGAGCTCCTCGAAGCGCGGGCCGCCGAGGGGCCGGTCTGAGCGACGGCGGTAGAAAAGGAGGTATGCTGCGCTTGAAATCACGTGCGAAGGGTCTTTCAGCTTGCTGACGGCGGAGTCTGGTATGTGTGTTAGCAGGAGCAGAGTGAGTTAGCTGAGATTCTTACCATTATAATCATACCACGCGCCGTCGACGAAAGACTTGGCATACGCGGTGTAATGTCCACCACCAAGACTACCGTAATGGTTGTCAACAGCAAATAGATCGTAAATATCCTTCTTGCCATCTTCGCTCTCAAGAACTCTTGTGCTCATGTCCAGGCCATCAATCGGGAAAGTGACTTGGATATCAAGCTTGTCTCGGCGCATAGCAGTGGAGCTGAAACGCTTCAGGTGGAATACCATGATATCCGGCGTCCTCCACAACTCGAGTTTCTTGCTGGCTCGCCTATGCTCCTTACACCTCGGACAGTACCATGTGTCCATCTCGGACAAGATCTCCTCTTTTCCAAACTCATCCAAGCACTCATCAAGGGACAACCCCTTTGAGCGGCGGCGTAGACGAGACTTGCGCTTGGCCTCAAGGACTGGGTCTTCCAGCAGACCGACACTGGACCAGCACTCCCGGCCACGCATCGTATCTTCTTGGTCACCTTCAAATAATGTTGCGAAAGGGTCTTGATACCAGTCGACAACGATGCCTTCCCCAAGTCGAACGAGAGGTCCCGGATTAGCGTCTTCCTCGACTTCCTCGCTGGACATGCGTGCCCTCTGCGGTGTACGCTTGTTACCCTTTCTTGAGTAAGTCCTGATGCCACGTCTGAAGGCTTTCATTTGACCTACTTTATACACGGCGTGTTGGGCGATTGGGCGAACAGGCAAAACCTAGATTCATTAGCCTCTCTCCATTTGTCAAAGAATTGGGTGCGCTGGTTATAGGAGTCGAGGAAGGCAGTCTCCAAGTTAAGTGTCAAAAACATACCCTTGTATTCGGCGCCAAATCATCATCGTCACTTGATTCCTCGTTCATTCGTGTCGGTGCCAATTGTGGGATGTCGCCAATATCGTCTTCACTACTTTCGCCATCAGATCGTTGGGGGTTATTGGAAGCAAACCCGTTAGATGCCTCATCATCGACTTCAACAGCGTCCTGGACAACAGGAATCCGACTGGAGAGCCGTGGATATAACTTCTCCTCGTCCACCACACCCCATCCCGTGGGAACAACTTCTTTTTTGCTCGAGAAATAGCTTAACTCGAAAAGATTGTTGTATTCGGAAGGGAGGAACTGCTCGGGATCAATCCACTTTGGCCGCCTTGATTGGAATTTTCGCTTTCTCGGATTGGAATCTTTCTGCGACCCGCCATCTACTTCTGCCGGTCGATTGTTCTGCTCTGTTACAGTGACGTCGACTACATCATCCTCGCCATCGATCGAAGTAGCCACAACTTTACCGTCTCCAGACGACGTATCCGAGGCAGTAGTTATAACAATGTCTTGTTCTGCGCTTTGGTCGTCATCAGTTTCATAACCGCTCATGTTATATGTGGTAAGATTGGCAACTCGTTCAAGAATCTTCCGTTGAATGATGTCCTCACTGCGAGCCTAAAGACTGTTAGATGATTTCAAATGATGAAGTGAACTACGAACCTCTTCTGGAGTCAACGTTATAAAAAACGGCGCATAGGCATGCATGAGCGGTTTGCCAAATCGGGTTGGGTTGGGATTTTGTCGCCGCGAAATAACCGGCACGATCATTCGTTCTGCTCTAGGCGAATCCCAGCTCGGAATATCTCCCTCGTCATCGTCTTGATACGAGTAGCTTACGTTAAGCATTGACCTAGTCTTTTGTTTGGGCTTTCGCACAGGCGGCCAATTTGTTGGTACTGCCTCAAGCTCGAAAACCATAATGCGGTCGTTGGCTTGGATGTCCTCCGATACTGACTTTGTGTCCTCAAGAATC